TTGTCGATTATCCCCTGGAGCCGGCTGTAAAAAGCATCCTTGTCATCATCCGAAGCATCGTTTGTTGGGGCGTAGATCTGTACTATGTTCATGTTGATGCTCGTACTTCTGGTAGTGAAAGAAGCCATGATGATCCTCTCCCTCTAAGTGACTTCTGTGCATACTTATTCAAAATAATTCCAACTCCCTCCGCATGGTGCTTGTCTTCCCTCCCAGAATATAATGTTTGTTCCCCGAGCTGAGCTGCTTCTGTCCAGACTGTATCCTGTCAGTTTTGCTGACTCATAGTATGTGCAGCCTGTATCTTTTCATCTCTTGTGTCACTTGAGAACTCTTTCCTGCTTCATACATGGTGTATGACGCAATCCGGAGAGACTTGTTCGGCAGAGAAGGTTTCGGGTTAAAAGAGTCCTTTCGGCTTTGTCCGCTGTCCTTCATTGTTCCTACTGATGCAGAAGCTCCCCCGTCTCCCAAGATGGAAAAATTATGAGGCATGTTTGTTCGTGTTTCTATATCTTTCCTTTTTTTCTGGGTCGGGTAGTTGGCCCTCCGCAAATTGTCACTTTTCGGGTGGCCAGACCTATGAACCTTTAGTCGCCTCTTACGACACGCAGTATCACGGCAGGTGTATTCTTTACTCCCCCATAGTAAAACGATGCCCCCCCTCCCCCACCGGCAGGGGTGACTCGCATAATAACTAGGCTAATAATTGGTGGAGATACTCAATAAAATACGGTCGAACCCGCTCTAACGGCAACTTGAATTAGACGATCACCCGTACACACGGCTACTCCATCCCCCCTCCCATTTTACGTTTTTCTACATAATAATGACACTGTGTAAAACGTCCACTTCCTAAGATAAACATATTCGCCTCGACAATGAGTGGCAGTCTTCTTAGACAGTTTCCACTGTAAAAACTTCCCCACTCCCCTCACCGGAAATGAAGTCACGTATTCTGCCTGCAACGGCACAGAACTTAACAACAACACCATATATACATATACACCGATGTTCATCATTGGTTCTTCTTACCAAATCTAAGCCCCCCCTGCAGCGTCACTGACTGAAGTGTCTTCTGATTTATCAATGTCATGCTCATACTGTGCCGGAACAACATAGGGGGAACTACTGCTTTTCTTTCCTCATCCCCTACTATCGTCCTTTTTCCTCTACTTCTTTTGTATGTTTGTAGCTCTCTTGCGAGCTGCTATTTCCAGGATGCATTGATAGCCGAAACAGAAGCTGTGGTGTTGAGGCTATAGAGGTGAGCAGAGTAAGCCTGATTCCCCCGTTTGGGCTTATCTGTTGACATCCACCCCTAGGCGCTCATATGACCTTATGCAGTTGCAAGCGCCGTAAACCCTTACTACTAAAAAACAAACACACACACACAAAAGATAAAAATAAAACCCCAACTAAATCTAATGCCGTGGTAACCTCGTTCCGATCTTTCGGTTCGGAACCTTGCTTTAGGCCTGGCAGGACCTAGATCTACCCAATCAACTTTGGCTTGGCTCAAAGACTCCACGCCACTGGACGATAGGCAGGCGACCTGTTAGCTTTAAAAAACAAAGAAGCGACCAGAGAGAGATCAAGAGAGAGATCAAGAGAAAGAGAGAGAGAGATAGAGAGAGAGAGATAGAGAGAGAGAGAGAGAGAG